GAATATGCCTGCAACCAAGGTACATGCCCTTGACCGGAATCGAACCTGGGACCCTTGAGTCCGAAGGCTGACGCTCTATCCACTGAGCCAAAACGGTCAGGGCATGTTCTTGTCTTCTTGAAGAAAAGATTTCAATCAAGACACAAGGTGTAGAAAAGCAAGCAAGAATGTATTAACCGCAGCAAAAACATACTTAGGGCCCTGAAACAAGGAAGGACATGGAAGAAGCAATAGGAGAGCCTAGGCTGGGCTGCTTTGGCTCACTGGGAAGTCAGAGACTTCCTGCACACCCCCTACTGGGGATTGAGCCCACGACCTGGGCATGTGCCCTGACCAGGAATTGAACCAGTGACCTCTTGGTTCCTGGGTTGACAGATAGGATTTACTACACACAGGCCAGGCACAAACCATTTACTCTTAAGTGTCCTTGGTTTAGGGAAGATAGGATTTACTAGGTGTCTGCAAACTGTCTTAGTTTGCCTATTCAGCTTGTCCTGGAATTTTCCTAGCTTCTCACTTTTCTATAACAACACCGTCTACCGGTGTTCAAACTAGAGCTCCGAGTTCTGCATCAGCATTCTCTAAAATAAATACCAAATCCCACATGCTGAACATTTCAAGGTCTACTCTATTAAAAAAAAGGAGGAAAGATTTTGCTAATAGTCATTGCAACTGCCAAAGTCAAATTTTCACTCCAAAGTTTTAAATGGCGATGGCTGTCCATTTTTCAGATATAACATAAAATAAAATGGTTTCTTGTAAAAATGACCAAAACAAACAACAACAACAACAAAAATGACACTAGAAACCTCTCCTTTACAGTCTTTCCTCTTCCCCAGCTTTCTAACCATTAACAGTCAGAATCTTAGTGTTACAGGTGATGGGAACGGCACCAGGTGAGGTCAGTCAGACCAAACCTGGGTTCAGCAACCTTGGTACTTGGGTTCTGGCTAGGAAAGAATTCAGAGCCAAGACCCAAACTGTAAGAAAACATTTATTTGGTAAACCACAGAGGTAGGAAAAACTCTTTACAAGTTATAGTGGTGAAGGAAGGGCCCTTGGAGGTTGGGAGTGAGAAAGCTGATGGTAAGGTGCCTGGGTCAGGCAGAGGCATCAGCATGCTCCGGGGGAGGGAGAGCACACTGGGTCCTCAGTCCTCAGGGTTTTCAGGGTGGAGGTTTTAGGGAAGGTCCCAGGAGAAGATCTTAATAGAATATTCAGCAGTTTTCCAGGTGTGGCCTTTCAGGGTTGTGGTCTCCGCTGATTGATTGGACCCACAGGGGCAGGGGCTCATTATTCAATGCAGCTGGTCCTGAGGGTGACCTGGGTTTTGTTGCCTATAGGGGAGCTGAAAACAACTGAGGTATAGATGTTATCTCTAGGGAGGAAAGGTCAGGGGGGCCAACCCTCTGGAGCAGCACTATGCTAGGCACCAGGAGCTTTCCACCCGGTGATCTTCCATACCTTGTGTCTAAGTGCCTACATGACATCGGAATGGGTTTTCCAAGATGCTCATTTAATGTGAGCTTTTATAATCACCTTGACTAGTGTCTACGTTTGCACACACAGAGATAAAGAAATCAACACGGCGGGGAAAGCTCTGGGTGGACTGGGCGGCAAGGGCCCCCCTTCACGAGCCCAGGACCTCAGGGCTCAGAGGTCACCAGTGCCAGGAAACCAGGTGGGAAGGGGGCGGCGGGAAGTGAAAGGGCGGGGCCCGGCGGCCCGGAGGGAAGTGGGGGTGTGGGGATGGGCTTGGGGGGAAGGGGAGCGGTGGGTAGGAAGCCCGGCAAGGCCTGAGATGTCCGGGAGGAGGGGCGGAGCAGGGCCGGGGCGAGGTGGGGT